ATCCATCCGTCCGTCCATCATCCATTCATCTGTCCGTCCATCCATCCGTCCGTCCACCATCCCTGAGTCTTCATTGCTCTAAAGTCAAAGTTTTCGACACATTTTGCATTTCTTGTTTATTTATTTTGAGCATTTGTTGTTCTTCACTCAGCTGTTGGCTGAAAACAAGTCTCGGCTCTTTGAGGTTAGAAAATGAGGAAACTGAACGTCAGATGTGACCTGGTTGTTTCTGATCAGGAGGAGGTTGTTAAAGGTCAGAGGTCGGTCACGGTGTGAGCCTCTGTGTGGCTTGAGGAAGTTCAGTGCAGATCTGATATTTTATTGTTGCAGGTTTATAAATCAGTTTCATCCTCCAGAAATGTTGCATCATTATTGTGTTTTACAGTCCCTGTGAGGTCATTCTGGTAAACAAGTCTTTTTGTGTTCCTCTGTTTACTTTCTTGAACTTCCTTATTCGTGACCTCGTCTGTTTTCGCTCCTCAGGTGCGTCGCCTCTGTCAGGAGAACCAGTGGCTGCGGGACGAGCTGGCCGGCGCTCAGCAGCGGCTGCAGGACAGCGAACAGGACGTGGTCACCCTGGAGGAGCAGAACAGACACCTGCAGTTCATGTCCTCCATCCGCAAATACGACCAGGACGAGCCGCCCCTGGTGAGGAGGAACCAGCGTCCGTCAGACGGACCACGTTACAGCCGTCTTTTTTTAAAATTCCCTAACATTTACACCTTTTGATCAAATACATGGAAAACTGTGTGTTTTGAAATTATCCTCAGCAGACGTGCTCCATTTTTAGCTTTTAACTTCGGTTGTTCTCATTATTTTCTTTTTGCCAACCCTAATATTAGATTTTAGCTACTATCTTACGAATTTTAGATTTCAGTTTTAATTTAAGCTTACGGCTACTCTTTTTAGCTTTCAGCGGTTGTTTAGGTAGTTTTTAGCTTTTGTTTCGAGCGTTTTATCGATTTTTATTTTCAACATGTTTCAGCAGAAGTCGTTCAGTGCTCAGCGTTCACACTTCATTTTTTCACAAAAAGCTAAAAAAATAAAAAATACATTTTACGTATAGAATTTTTTAAACCCCAAAACAAACTTCTTAGTTTCCAACTAAAAACAGAAACGCATCTGTTTAACGTCATTTCTAACCAAACCGTAAACATAAATAACCCTCATATTATTCTCCTCTTAATTAAACAAAGATTAAATCAACACAGGAAAGCTAATATTGCAACATAAAAAACAACTTTTATTGTTTTTATAAACACAATATCTGCCATTTCTAAAGAACCAGAGTGCATAAAACAATTATTTTTGTTATTGTTTGAGGCTTTAAGATTTTTTTCTGATGGCTTTTTTTAAATCAAAGTTTAATTTTTCCAGCTAAATTAGTTTTATTTACATTTTTCCAGGTTTCAGCAGTAAAATATTTATGGCAGGAGAGCTGTTTCACGCCCACATTGATCGAAGCTGTGGTTTCCAACACAGTTTATGATGAACTTAGAAAGGTTCTTGAGGGCTGGTTGCTGATGTTACGGGTTTGGACCTGCTGGCTGATGACGTTTGTTACCGAGAGAACACTAAGAAGTCTTGTTTCTTGTTCTTCTTCTCTCAGGAGGATGGAAACTCTTCCAGCAGGGAGTCTTTGGACGACTTGTTTCCTGCAGAGGACGAGGAGCAGTCCCAGAGTAAGGTTCTGTTGGTTCTGTTGGTTTGGTCCGTCTGAAGTTATTAACGCAGCGTTCTCGTGCTGGAGAACAATTTCAACAGGCAAAGAAAGAAACAAAGTTCGACGTAACAGCTGCTCATTACAGATGTTAGTCAAAACATGAAATTATAAAAATGCACCAACTGCACGAGGAGACGTTGAAGATCCACGTTTTTAAATTTCTTCTTAGTTTTACTTGCGCTGTTTAAAATATTTCTGATGTTTTGCTGCTGATTAAACAGTTTAAATTTTTTAGTTTTGCTAGAATTCTTTTGAGGAATGCATATCGCCCGCTGCCTTACCTGATAGGGTTTAACGCTCTTTAACTAAAGTTGAGCGAGGTCCGCCTACAGAAACGTTTCTTAAACGAAAGTCCAGGTTATAAATATTTATAATCGGGTGCAGTCGTAAAATAAATTCATGTTTGTGTAAAATAATGTTTAATATTTATTGTTTTCATGAGAAATAAGATTAAAGAGAACTTTTTTTTGTTTTACTTTTCAAAACGCTCCTCATTTTGCTTCTAAATGTTAAAATGTGTGGACGAACGGGTGAATATAATCTCTAAAAGATCCGCTGCTAAACTCAAATTACTGTAAAGACATTGAATGTTGGATTATGAGCATTTTTATTACACGTACAAAATGCAACATAAAGCGAAACAGTTTCAGGCACGAAGAATCTCTTTAGAGTAAAACTTTGCAGATCAGAGAAGGTTTTTGTCTGTACCTGCTTAAAAAATGAAATGAAACAAAGCAACAAGTGAGTCTCACTCCCTGTAGTAAATACAGTAGGTCCTAAAAAACCCCGAGTACACTTCCTTTTAGGAAAATAAACGTTTAAAACTTGTTCTGTGTTCCTGCTCACTGAAACATTTAATTGTAAATGTCTATTTCAGAGTAACTCTGAGAAACGGGAAGTAAAAATAAAACTAAAATATATAAATTAGTGCAAAGATTTTATTAATCTGTTGGGTATTACAGATCGGATGTGACCGAGTTGAACAAAAATCGTCTTTTAGGCGGGCGCGTGATTTTCAGGTAAAACTTCATGTTTCAGTGTCGCAGCCTCGTCACAGCAGCGCAGCGGCCGCCGCTCAGCAGGGCGGGTACGAGATTCCTGCCCGCCTCCGAACGCTCCACAACCTGGTGATCCAGTACGCGTCTCAGGGTCGGTACGAGGTCGCCGTTCCTCTCTGCAAACAGGTGAGACACCCCCCCCCCCCGATCCTCACACACAAAAACACACGATCTCTGACGACACGTCTCAACAGGCTCTGGAAGACCTGGAGAAGTCCTCGGGCCACACCCACCCTGATGTAGCCACCATGCTGAACATCCTGGCTCTGGTGTACAGGTGAGAGCAGTTACCATGGCAACGAGGAGTCACCACCACACTTGTTTTCCTGTTTTGAGTTTGTGTGATTTTAGCTGTTTGTTCATCACAACGTTCGGCTCGTTCAGGAGACGGTTGTTTTGACACTTGGTTCTTGTATTTTTATACATTTAAAAAAAAAATAACTTTATTGACAAATATTTTCTCCATAGAATAATTTTTAATCGCTTCAAATTCTTTTAAAGACAAATTTGTTTTTTTTCATTCAACCTTTATTTATACAGGTAAATCCCATTGAGCCTCGAGGACTCATTTTCAAGAGAGACCTGATTTTAACAAAGAATGACGACAACAATGGACAACAACAACAATAAACAGTTATAAAAGAGCATACAGATTTTTTTATTTTTTACAAAGAAGATGGCTAAAAAAAAGTAACAAAAAAACAGCTAGAAAACAGAAACATGTCTGCATTGGTCCCTGCCAGGAGTCCAACAGATTCAAATTTTTGCACTCTTGGTTTGTTTTTGTCTTTTTTTTTTTTTTTTTAACCACTTTAGCTTAAAGCAAACTTTAGATACTTATAGCTAGCCATTAGCAACTTTTAGCCAGCCTTTTGCTTCAATTCCTTGTGCTAGCCTCTTTTAGCATTTTGCTTATGTTTTTTTTTTTAAACTTTTAGCTCATGTTTTTCTTCTTTTAGCTCA